AATTAATCACAGATTGGAGCTGGATAAATGTTTTAAATCAGAGTTAAGAAAGAGTCTGCTTGGTCAAACTTGTTTCATTTGACATATATCAGCAAGGATGCAGGTCCTATCCCTTTGCTAGGTCTCCCAAGTCATACTTATATTATTAGTCATCCCAAGTTCTCACTCTGTAATGCTTAAAGCTTTTCTTTTCCATTCCTTGATGCCACTGTTAGTTTTACTGGACATCCCTGAGTGTTCGGAATGGTTCAATCTATTTCTATAACTGTTTGATTTTATAATAAGAGATATTGCCAATCATTTGCCCTCCTACTTTTTAAATCAGCATACATGAGTCTATATACTGTCTTCTTTCATTCTTCTACAAATAGATAATGTATCAAAGACCTAAACATTAAGCCTTCTGGAAGCTAAAATATATAAAACCCTGGAAGACATAGGTGTAAGAAAGGATTTTCTAAAAATAACTTGAATTGTACGAGAAATAGCAGCATCGGTCAATTAATGGGATTTTATCAGGCTGAAAACTTCTGTACCACAAAAGAGTCAATCAGTTGAATGAAGAGAAAACCTACAGAACTGGAAAAATTTTTGCCAGCTACTCCTTAAGCTGAGGACTAATATTTAAAACATGCAAAGAACTCAAAAAAATAAAACCACCTAAAATTAAAGACCCAGTTAATAAATGGTCTAAAGAAACAAATAAATACTTCATAGATGAAGAAATGCAAGTGGTTAAAAATATATTTAAAATGTTCAACATCTTTGGTCAGTAGAGAAATTCAAATCAAAACAATGCTAAGACATACCTCATAGATTTCAAGAAAATATGCCTTAAATTCATCTGGAACCAGAAGAGACCTAGAATAGCAAAAGCAATCCTGGGCAACAAGGACAAGTCAGGTGGAACCACAATCGCTGATCTGAAATTATACTACAAAGCTGCTGTCATAAAATCAACCTCATACTGGCTAAAAAACAGACCTGAGCATCAATGGAACAGACTGGAAGAAACAGCCACAACCAAAAACACTCAGCCACCTAAACTTTGGTAAAGGGGCCAAACAAACTCAATGGAAGAACGATAGACTGTTTAATAAATGGTGCTGGAAAAATTGGCTTGCCATCTGCCAAAGACTGAAAATAGACCCAAGTCTATCACCATGCACCAAACTCAAGTCAAAATAGTTCACAGATCTCAATATTAAAACAGAAACACTAAATATATTGGAAGAGAAAGTAGGTAAAAACCTTGAAGACATAGGGGTAGGCTGAGAGTTCATGAACAAAAACCAAATTGCACGTGAAACACCTGAAAGAATCAATAACTGGGATCTCATCCTACTGAAAAGTTTCTGCACATCTAAAGAAATCACCAGCAGAGTAAAAATAAAACCCAGAAACTTGGAAAAAGTTTTAGCTGACTGTCCCTCAGACAAAGATCTTCTATCTAGAAGATATAAAGAATTAAAAAATATCAGCCCCCCCCAAATTCAAAGACCCAATCCAAAAATGGGCAGCTGAGATGAATACACACTTCTCAGATCATGAAATACAAATGACAAATAAATACATGAGAAAATGTTCAACATCATCAGTCATTTGAGAAATGCAAATTAAAACAACACTGAGATTCCACCTAAGCCCAGTAAGAATGGCTAGCATTAAGAAATCAACCAATAACAAATGCTGACGAGACTGTGGAGAAATAGGAACTCTTCTCCACTGCTGGTGGGAATGCAGACTGGTGAAACCACTGTGGAAATCAGTTTGGAGATTCCTCAGAAAACTAGGTCTAGAGGTCCCATTCAATCCAGCTAATCCCCTTCTTGGTATTTTCCCAGAAGATCTAAAAACATCATATCACAGCGATGTATGTGCACCCATGTCATAGCAGTGCAATTTGTAATTGCTAAATTGTGGAAGCAAATCAAATGTCCATCCACCGAGGATTGGATAAGAAAATTGTGGTACTTTTATATAATGGAATATTACTCAGCTGTAAAGAAAGATAAACTTGAGGCTTTTATATGTAAATGGTCACAACTAGAGACCATACTTATAAGTGGAATAAATCAGACCTGCATGTTCAACCACCGCATTGTCTCACTTGTGCAAAACCTGAAAGAGTTAATTTAAACTCGGAGTTATGATAGACATTGTGAAATGGTAGGAAAATGCTCAAGGGTAAAGGGCAACTGGGATGTGGGAAAAGAGAAGGGAAAGAAGGAGAAATTTTGTATGTATGTATATACAGGATAGTTAACATAGTTGTTCTACAGTCTTCTATTTCTTTACTGAAAGAAACAGTTAATGAGTCCTTGACTGATCAACATTGCATGTCTCTATTTGTTTTTCACGACAAACCATTTTGAAGATATCAATATGTAATACAAGAGGAGTTGTTAATTTGCTACCACTTTGTTTGTAACTCTTTATTGTCTGTACTGTTCTTTTGCTATTTTGTAAAAGGTTGTCTGTCTGTTAATGTTTTTCTCCTTTTATTTTTAAAAGACAAAAAAATAAAAAAACAATGCTAAGATTCCACCTTACTCCACGAAGAATGGCAGTTGTTACAAACTCAAACAATAACAAATTCTGGCATTGCTGTAGTGAACAAGGAACCCTCCTGCATTATTGGTGAGAATGTAAGCTAGTACAAACATTATAGAATTTTGTATGAAAATTTCTTAAAGAGCTGAAATTAGAAATTCCATACTATCCAGCTCTTCCTATGCTAGGTAACTTCCCTAAAGTGCTTATGTCATTACACCACAGTGATGCAAGCAGAACAACTCTTTATAACAGCAGAATTCATAGTAGCTAAACCATTGAAGCAGGCTGTATCCCTATCAACTGATGATTGGATAAACTAGATGTGTTTATCCAATGTATGTTCTATTATAAAATCTATATAATGGAATACTACTCTGCTATAAAGAATAACAAATTTGAGACATTTGTAGGAAAAATGGATGCATTTGGAAAATATAATACTGAGTGTAATAGATCAGACACGCAAGCTTAAATACTGTATGGTATCTTTCATTTGAGTGAGGCAAAGTATAAAGAAAATGATACAGGATGGATAGAAAGTGAAAAGGGGACTTATCTCATCCAATAGGGAAGTGGTTCAAGGAAACAAGTGATATAGGGGAAATAAATGTAATTCCCAACCTGCTAGATGTCAGATACGCTGAATTCATGTTCCCCAAAATCAAAGAATGAATTCTAAGGAACAACAGAGGTTAACAAAAGAGTTGGAAAAGTTTATTGAGAGCGATAACTCCTGAGAGACAGGAGGAGATCTGAAAGTGGGTTGCCAAGGAGCTCACTTCCCAAAGGAAGTTTTATAGAGCAAAATTAAGAGGTGGGTACACTGTGGGTCAGAGTTATGATCAAGCAGTAAGATTGATTACAATTACAGCCATTTAGGCAGTATTGATCTAATGAGGAAGCACATCACATGGTGTACATGGAAAGAACAAAGACCTTCTTTATGAAGGGATGGATTGGGAATCTTGGTCATCCACTGGGGTGACTGACGCCTAGCTAGCCTTTTTGGACAGGTGATACTAATTGTCTTATCCTCTGGAGCAGTTTGGAGGCCGTCTTGAGGCCTGGCCTTCAACAAGTGCAACTCTGACCACAGTTGTAATGTGTTCTCATCCTCTGCATTGACTCCCTCAAAGGCCTAGCCCTGTCTAACTACCTACAAAATTTCTACCTAACTTAGCTGTATATAATACAAGGGCAAGGAGTGAGGAGGAGGGGAAGGGAAAATGAAAGGAATAAAGATGTGGTATGTACATGATCATAATAACCCAAATCCATGTAAACATCATCCATCATAACATGAGTTAAGACAATTAATATCAAAAAGTATGTAAAAGGTTATAGGGGAACAAGAGGAGAAGAGTGGAAGGAGAAGGTGATTTGAAAAAAAAAAAACAAGCTGTAATATTTACATGTAACCACTCCCCGAGATGATTATAAACTGCATGAATTGCAAACATGTACTAATAAAATAATATTTTTTTAAAAATCCAAAATATTGCCATCTGCCCTAACACACAACAATTTAACTTTTCTCCTTTGCTCTGGTTATTACCCAGAAATCTCTTTGTAGCTCAAGGCCCTGGGTTCTTAGTGTAATTTCCTTACATGCCCATAGATGTTTTGCTGCTTAGTAAGCCTTGTTTCTCAGAATTACTCTCAGACTTTGTTGAAACTATTGTTTCCAAGTGCTTGATATTTATTTGCATACTTGTGACTATCCAATACACATTGTACATAAATTATCAGAATCTGACTCCACAAGAGAGAGTCTCTGTAATTAATAATGTACATTTATTTAATTATGCATTCATCAAACATGATATATTCATCCATAACCTATATTATTCATTCAATAAACATTCTTGAAAATCCCTACTGCTGATCTAGATAGGAATAGAGTTGAGTGAGACATAGTCTTTGCTCTCCAGTGGTTTATAGTACAGTAAGAGGATAAGAAATATACCAACAGCTAAACATTGAATTGTGAACCTAGGGATGAAGAGGTTAAGAGAAGCTTACTGTAGCTAGAGTAGCTTAAGCAAAAGTAATCTTACTGCAAATATTTAGTTTTATTATTGAGCTTTTCTCAGGCTCTTCAACTGAAACTTGAAGGAGTAATAATTTTCCTATTCTTAGTTAAATCAATTACAGGTTTTGCTTGAAAATTCCAGCTTTTTTCAGAGACAAGCATGTTAGTTGTGGTAGAATATAGGCTGGAAAGCAGTGAGGAAGGCTGATGTACCTTCATTGTTTGTGCAGCACCTTTGACTCTCTGTTTGAATTTCTCTGTACCAAAGAAATGAAATAGAAGCAAAACTTAATTACCATAATCTGCTCCAGAGACTTAGTTTCAGTACGTGCAAATAAGATTTCTGTGGTGAGACACCAAATGTGCTCAACTTCCTCTTTCAAGAACCAGTTTTTCAGTTATCAACAGGATATGTGGGTGCCACCCATAGTCTTTTTTCACTCCAGCTCATTGCAAAGAAACAAGAGTGCATACCCCAGCTTAGCTCCAGGGTAAGTTACAGCCTAGCCCTTGGGAGTTGGTGATTCCATATGGAAGGCTTGGTGGGAACATAAAGATCTAGAGTGAAGTTGGGGAATTGAAATGGTCTCTGGTTTCTCATCTCAAAATTCTACACTGTGAGCAAAGGTCACTGCTTTTGTATCTTACCAGAGTCCAAAGTTAGTGATAATGCCATCAATCCCCACCAGTACACCAGGACCATGAAGTCTGTGATGCATCTTATTCTTTGCTAAGGGCTCTTCATAGAGTGGAAGTTGGAAAGATGGCGTAAAGTGGTAAGTAGTGAGTTCGCAATGAAACTTGTTGAGAATATTTGACAATTTTATCAGATAAAGGGGATGTGAATTTCTGCTGTACACAGTTTATCTGCTTTCAAAGTGAGGGAATATTTTCAGGCATAAGAACATTGGATTGGTTAGTTTAGCTTGCAGAGATAGTGAGAGCATTAGGACACTTAGGATTACCCAGATAGTGGCAGAGCTGGAACTAGTATCTGTGTTTTGTAATACACATCACGTTTCCCCTACAGCGGCCTGAATCTCCCAGAGAATATTGTGAATGTAGTTAGGGCCCTGATTGTTTTTTAGGTTAGGAAAAGATAAAATATGCCAGATCGTTTCAGAGTCTGCCTAGAGGGGTTACTTGATCATTTAAAAGATATTTTTTCGTGTGAACCTCAGTCCTATTTGACAGAAGAGCCCAGAAGTGAGACATTTGTCTTTTCAGTGATTATTCTATTAAAGAGTGTTAGTACTTCTCTGGTTTTGAGCTAAGTTAACTGAGTTGAAGGAAAACTTCCAGTTGGGGAGTCTCTCAGGATGGCCCCTGCAAAAATCAGGGGAACTAGGATCAGTTTAAATAGGAACATAAAATACTTTGTTGTGTATTTTTTTAAAGGAGGAGAGTGTTTTTTTATTTCTACTTTTTTTAGTGTATTATTGCATGCTTACATTCCTGTAGGGAAGTTGGTACATGTACATAACACATCTTAATTCCTTTCTTCATACCCTTTCTCTTCTCCCCCTCCATCTTCACCTGTACCTTGACATCTTTTTTTCTTTTTGGTACATGTTTCCAGTACGTAACATTTACATTCGTTGTCTAGAGATGGTACATGGACATAACTCACCCCAATTCCTTTTTCATCCCTTATCCCTTCTTTCTCTCCCCTTCCCTCCATCTCTTAATCACCTTTCCCACTGATAATGATCTATCTCCCTACTTCCTATGATCTAACTTTAATTTTGCTTTTCAGTTTTACTCTGGTTTTCTCATGTAAGAGAATCAATGTGATGGACTACTCTCAATTTCAAGAATCCTAAAAGTGAGGATATTTTTATTTTGGCTGTTCAAATGGATGTGGGAGGTCACCACCATTTCAATTAATTAGAAAGATTATTTGAAAAATTAAATATAGTAAAATTATTCATAGCTAAAGTAGGTGATATTTAGGTATACAGAAGTGGCAAGTAACTTGAATTGCACTGAGAATCAAGTCATATATTTAGGACAGTTGTTTTCAGATTGAACATAGGTCCTTCTTTGGTCAGTTGCAGTTTTGGGGGATCCAGCTGAGAATGTTGTTGAGTTCCTGTTGTATGGATTTCTCAAACTCTAGCAATGGCGTAGCACAAGACTCCAAATGAATGAACACATTTCTGGGTGGTTTTTGGTGGTGCTTTGTGACTAGCTGTGTTTTAGGTGAGTAAACAAGGGTCCTAGGAGCCAAGTAAGTTATAGCCCCTGCCATATCTCTAGCAAAGAAGACAGAGATAGATATGAAGCCACAATTTCAATGAGTTCCAACAATCAGGACAGTGGCTGGTGGGGGATGATTTTTGCTCTATGTAAAAGCTTTTGTCCAAGTGGTTTACTTATATTCCAGATCAAGATATTTTACAGGGGAATGTTTGTCTATTATTGATTCACATGCTTTATAGGCAGCATGATGAAGTAAATATTCTTTTTTTTTTTTTTTCCGGTACCAGGAATCGAACTCATGACCTTGTGCTTGCCAGGCAGGCGCTGTGCTGCTGAGCTAAATCTCTGGCCCCAAAGTAAATACATCAATATACAAGCGGTCCAGAAGTCTAGATTATAAGCTATCGTGCTAATAACTTATTGTGTGGCCTCGGGCAAATTGCTCCATTAATATTATCTCAATAATCTCATCTATAACAATAGGGGAGGGCTTAGAACAGATGGTCCTAATAATAAAATGATTTGATTGTAAACTGTTGGGTAAATGAGAAGAGGTATATGCCATGGATTAGTAAATACTAGGGGCATGTTAAGGAACTATAACTAAAATAGAACTTCTGGAAATGTAGCTCATATCATGAAGAAAATCAAGTAATCTTTTTTAATCTTCACATATTTCTTTCAAATGATCTGATCATAATAGCTTCAACTTTTGTATCACAGGCAATTATATTTAAAAGATGATAAATATGTGAAAAAATACAAACATAAACATGAGAAAGAGTTCTAAAGTTTGACTTTCACAATGACAAGAACATTCATTCAAAACCTTTACTCTTGTAAACATGGTTGCTTTTGATGAACACACAAATTTCACTATAAGGTCATTGTGGACTTGATACTCTAGAAATAAAGGACTTATAGAAAAATCTATCCATGAAGTTGTAATCTTTCAAGTACTTTTGTGCCTAACAGCAAGAAGATTTTACAGATTTGTACTTCCTGCAGTATATATTATAGAAATAATTTTGTTTTTATTTTGTTTCCCAAAAATGTTTACTATAATAATTAGTATATATTTTTTCAAGTAACAAATCCTTTCCATAACTCAGTGTAAGAATTACTGTACTAGACCTAGCTATGCCTACAAATATGTTTCTCTGAGGATACACTAAATTCAGAAAAGTATAGACTCCAACTAAATCCCTGGAGATGACTCTATACAAGTAAAGAGGAAATGAACTCACATTTATTTAATGCTTACTATATACCAGACATAAACATAAGTACTTTCTCATTGAATGTCTACAGTGACCTGTGTGTCAGAAATTAAAATACTACTTTTACACATGAGAAAAATGATACCCAGAGACATGAAATGAATTATTTCAAGGTACAGAACCAATAAATTAGTCATGTGAGTCATGATATAATCCCAAGTCTGCCCAAGGAAGATGATTCTTTCTGCCTATAAAATATTTTGCTAACAGCAAAAATAATACCTAATTACAGTTTCTTAAATGATTAAAAATCCAATAAAAGCTATGTATCAGAAGTGAAATTTAAACTTTAAAATATTAAGTTGTGAGCAGTATAATTTCTTTAATTAATTTTAGGGATAAAAATAATTTTATTTCTTCTGGTTAACAGAAAAATGTCTATCTTTGCAAAATCTACTCAAATATGTTTTTATTATGTTAAATAGGGTTATTTTAACTTGATTTGAATGACTTCAGAAAATAACAGTTTCCAATTGTAGCTGCTACTCCTTGGCTCTGGTTGTAAGTGATTAAACAACATCATGGTCATAAGGATCAGACTAGCTTTTGTAATTCATAAGTCAGATAAAGGAAAACACATTAAGTTTTCAAATGACACATATATGTCGTCTACTTGAACATGGAAGTGTCTCCACAAATAACCTTCCTTTGCTGTTTAATTTATCATTGTTCTCTAAGATGATAAGTGTCTTGGTTACTTTCTTTCATGGCTGAGACAAAATACCTGATGCCCAAAATTAAGGAAGAAAGCGTTATTTAGCTCACAGTTTGTGGAGGTTTCAGTCCATACGTGGCTGGCTCCAAGGCAGGGTGGCATGGCAGAGGGCAACAGTTCATGGTGGCAGAAAACAGCAAAAGCAGCAAGAGCAAAAAGGGAGGAGCAGCAGAGAACAAGCCTCTTTCCCTTCTTTGTATTGTATGCAGACTACCTGCCTCAGGGTGGGTGTAGCACTCACACCCATAATCCTAGCATTGGACCATGAATCAATCAAAAACTCTAGAAGCCCGCCCCATGACTGTATGAGGATTTAGGGGGATATCTAGTGACAAACCATAACAATAAGCTTATAGGCTGACCTTACTATCAAAGAAAATAGGGGAAACAAACTTGATAAACATGTTTACTTAATGGTGCTGGTGACTTAATGATGAGAGGTGAAAGGAAGAGGAGGATCAAGAGGCTGAAGATTTGTAGAGTTGGTACTAGAGAAAGACTATTTACCTCCATCTCAGAATTTAAATTTCAGCCTTCTGACTGTCACTTTAACCACAACAGCTTCAGATAAATGAGATCACTTTTTGAACCTAGTTTCCTCATCCACAAAATTGGAAAGCTATATCTTGGTGATTATTTATAATTTGGTTAATGGCAATTACTGTACATAGATATGCATTTATAGTAGTTTGTTAATATAAGTTAGTGTTTAAGCTGAGATGGTTGAATTAAGGATAGGGTTGTCAATGCTGGTGGTATTATTTAGGGGCAGGATCTGCAAGGGCGCTGCCCACAAAGTCAGGACAAGTTAGAGCTGAAAGAGAGTTAAACATCATCTAGTTTAGATTGTCTTGCTTTAATAATGAAGAAAATGTAATCTACAGAAGTTAAGGGGCTTATCAGAGCTAAACAAAGAGTTAGTATTTGAATAGTTACTACAATATTCTAGAATCTTCTTAAAGAAGAACTAAAGTACTTAGCTTCATTTAATGTTACCAATGTTTTCATCAGCTCTGCCTTCTTTAATCCAAACATTACATATGATTCCTTATGGGCCAAAATTTGTCTCTCACATTTTCTGTTCTGTACTTTGTGCATGATTTTCTCTATAAAACTAGCTGAAAGCAATTTGTAGTATTCATACAACAGGCTCAACCTTAGGCTGCCTTGAAATTTCCTGCAGCAGATTAATTAGTCTACCTCTCTTAATCTCAGTCTTCCACAAACTCTCAGGACATGAGAAAAGTGTAGACAAAATTTTTGCCACAATGCAACACACAACTTCCAAAGAAGTCCCTGTTCCCAATTGAAACCATGAGAACCTTATCTTTACTCTCTACATTCAGGTCTTTTGAGCTGCAACTGGAATCATCCATCAGTATCTACTTATAGCATTCCAAAGTTGCTTTAAACTTAATTTCCAGATCTTTCCAAATCCTCCCATTAATCAATTCCAAAGGCTTGTAAGCCATGTGGTCAGGTTCAGTCACAGCTCAGAATTCTGGAGCCAATTTTCTTCATTAGTCACTTGCTTGTCACTGTTTGACAATACTTAACAGCCACAACTTATGGTGGAGAG